TAATATTTAATATGTGACCATAATAATTAATAGTAATTCAAATTACAAAAGGATAGTTTAAATACATCATTGTAAATAATAATACATTTCAAATTCTAATTTTCGCGTGTCCACTTTGCGTAACCTTAGAATTAAATCATGAGAAGCATACTGAGACTTCCTTGCTAGATTTAAATTGGAATTTTCTTTACAGCACTACAAACAACTCTTAATTGTCTTTTCGCAACGTTGCGTCTCAACAATTGCGTTGGAGATAATTTTATTCTCAATTATCTTCTCAAGCGACGAGTCTGCCATTTACGAAAACAGAATCATAATTTACGTAAAATCGAATTTCTCTTGAGATTATGGAGTCTATTGCTATTATATACACATTTTATATATAGAATAATTAATATAATGATGCAATTTTATTATATTGCATAATAGCATATAGCGCCACAATGCGTAATTTTATATTTTATAATTACTTGTTGCACGTGTAAGTGTAATCTATCATATTAAATTAAATTTTACATTATTTTACATTATATATATGTATATATACAAATTATATATATACATGTATATATATAATTACTATATTATATAAAAATATCTATAGCAGAGAAAATTTCGCGTGCTTCTTGCTCATTGTCAGCGTTTTGCAATCTAAATTTCAACTCGTTATACAAAAGTATACTTTTAAGTAAGCGCATCATTCTTGAAAAAATAAAGTATGCGTTTTTCTTTAATTTTACTTATGTGTTTTCGTTATCTTGTGTAAAAACACATTATACCAACTGCACACACATGTATTATAGATAAACGGACAAGAAATTATATCCTGAAATAAAGACATATTTATCCAGAAGTTTTGCAACGCATCTCTTAGTGCGCAACCCTTTATATTTTGCCCCTCGGGAAGCGGAATTTCTCTCAGTTTTCCGTCTCAAAAGTGAGTCGCTTTTTTCCTACTTTTGAAGTTAAACAAACGGTCCATATGAAGTATCGATATATGTAGCCAAACACTTCCGACGAAGTTCTATCGGAGGTATAAGCAATTTGTTTTGTCGAGCGGAACTCACCGATCCCGATATATATGAGCCGAGTTTTCAACAAAATGCTGTTGCGGCTTGAACATACTTCTTCCAACAATAAAGTGACCAGACGTACAGCACGCGCTGCTGCATTGTAACGTGTTATATATTTTCATTCAAATCTACTATAGCGTAGGAACGTGTATCAGGTACGCAATTTAACACGTTGCAGTTATGCGAAGAATAAAATTAATAATCTACATTGTATATTTACAACGAAGCAATTTTATAAAATGTATATAAAAATTATCCTTGCCATTAATTTTCGGATTATATATTCATTTTATTTTTTTTACTGCGCTTAATATTTTATGCTTCATTTGTTGCATCGAGAAATGATGTAAACTATGTAGACTTGTCTCTGAGTGATACGAACCGATCATTGTAAGCATGAAGGAGATTTATAAATCTATATGCGCACAGGCAATTCAGGAAAATCGTGTTTCGATCACATAGCGGAAAATAAGATATCTGTTTCGCATACAAAGGAAATGACACTTTCTATGCATAGAAAAATGGACAGAATCTTATTTCCATTTTCTGGCACGCACCCTATCGCAAAGCTTCACAAGAAATTCAGCCGGAAAATGCTCGCATGCGTACCATACAAGTTTCGGTATCATCGCGTGATTTTAATCAATTGTACTTTTATATTGAAGTTATTTTTTTTTTGAAACCTCAGATATTTTGATAATCATCTAATTTTCAAATTTGGTTAATACATATTACGTTCCTTTTCGACGAACGAAATTAAAGACGCAGCAGACGAAAGGACGCTGTTTAATAATTCATGATGGCGCGCTCGCGTGCGGAACACACTATGGCAAGTATTTTAGACGAAGGTACTACATATTGTACATACCGCCGACCTCGCTGCCAGTAGGTACAACTCTCTCCCTCTCTATACTCTTTCCCCTCGGAAAGACGTGTGCTACCTTCCCATCTCGCTTACAACTCCCGGTAATACCCGAATTTTGAACATTAGTTTGCAAACCATTTAGCACACACAACTACTATATAGTTTCCGTTTCCCCTTCTCTCTATCTGTACAGGTAGTAGTTGGAATCACGCAGCCACTGCATACATCGTATGCCCTCTTATCCCCCTTATCCCTCGTACGTATAGATTTAACCACAACGGTACACGACATAGTCATTGTGCATTAAGCCTAGGCGACACGCGTAGCGGACCTTCCGAAGGATACGACGGCTTCACTGAAAATAATTTCACCGAGGAATTTCTTGTAATTTATTGTAATTTGCGCGAAATTTACTTAAACTCATACATTTAGGAACTATCGATTATCTTAAAATAATTTTTGTTCCTTCTGTCTTGCAGAAATATATGCAAAATTTAGAAAAAATTTTATTTTCCTTTACATTAAATAATGCTAGTAATAATGTATTAATTCTTACACACAATCAATTATATTATAATTAAATAAAAATAATTTAATTATATTTTTCTCAATGATACGCTAAACTTTGTCGCAAATTTGTTAAAAAGTCAAATAGATATCGAAGAGAGCAAAGTAAAAGGATGTGCAATTCTAATATTTTAGCATTTAAAAATGTAAATCAACATATATAATATTTTATCTGATTTTAAAATTTCTTTAAAAAAAAACATTGTTGAATTTTTACCGTGCAAAAAAATTATTACATCAAACATTTCTTTTTCACTTATTTTTCGCTTTTTTCACAAACTCGTTAAAATCACGTATAATAATTACGTAACGATTTTATACAATGCTTTAGAAATCTGCTTTTCTTGAAGGACGATTACTTTAGAGTGTAGCGATAACAGAATTTGCGTTCGAGAATTTCCGATAAGATAATAATTTTAAGTAAATTTCAGATTAAGCAAGAAAATTTTGAACTATAAACCAAACCTTTTCACTGTCTCAAGAAATCTAATTAAAAATTTTTTATCTCAACTCAAATATAAATAATGATAAATGATGGTATAATGATAAAAATAATATTAAAAATGATAAAAATAATATTAAATTCAATATAAAATAGCGTAAACATACAATCACTGTTTTTAATTGATCCTATATTAATAAAGTTACTGATTGTAACAAAATTATATTAAAATTGTAATATTAGAAAAATTTATTATTAATTTCGTGTCATTCAAATTCATCTTCGATAATACAAGATCGATGATTAAATTATGCATGTAATTAATTAACAGCTCTCAATAATAAACGAAAAAAAGGTAATCGAATACAGTAAGATGTGAATAATCTTCTCTCGCGAATCACGGAATTTCATCGTGTATTATGATGGCAATTCTCGCGTTTCGGTTAACAGCGACGAGCATAATTGCGCGCAATTTCGAGATTCATCGTGCTCTATTGCCAAACTTGAAAGCGCGCGTGCTTGATTTGATCTCATATACGATATTCCTGAGACTTGATCTTCTCGCTCAAGAAGCTACGGACGTCGGACGAGGCTTCCGAAACTCCCGGGGATACCGACAAATTAATCTCAAGACTCAAAGTTTAGTAAAGTTCGGCCGCGTTGCTCGATTTTGGTTTCCCCTCGATCGTGGTTTTGTCTTCTGCATGCGTAATGCATACGAAATTATTTATGAAATAAATAATAATGGAGAAAAATAATACCTGCGTGTACTAGACTGACGCAAAGAATGTATTAAGCGCGTGTTTCTTAATTAAATTCTGTTTTAAATAAAGTTATCGCGCGATTTTAATTTAAAAAAATTCTTTCTTCAATATTAAAAAAATGCATTAAAGCTGCATAAAAATACTGCTTTATAATTAAGAAAAATTATTTAAAAATTATGTGATATATTCAACTTTATTCGAATAAATATTGTTTATCTTGTATTTATCGAAAGAAAATAGAAAAAATTACAATTTTAAAATAATTTTTATTAATTATATTTATATATATATAAAATATTTTATTAATTATATCAATTATATTTATTTTATATTAATGTTATTGATTATATTTATATAAGTAAAATATATATATATATATATATATATATATATATATATATATAAATAATAAGAACAAAAAATTAAATAATATGAAATAATTTCTTTATTAAAAAAAAAATAAAAAAAAATTTCGGCATTATACTCTCATTCTCAAAAACTTTTGCCTATTATCTTATTATTATTACAATAAGAATTAACTTTTATTGATGGTTTTTTTGAATTATAATATATCTTACAGCCAAAACAACAAAATGGATCATTTTATCTAAAATTCTTATTGTGACTTTAAATTATTTTTATGATTGAAATTTGTGAATATTCACACGTACCAATACATACAATAGTCAATGAGATATTTATGACAAATAAATAAGATAAAGATCCTTTTAAGTTAAGATGAATTGCTTAATAATTAGTTAAATGATCATGTACTCATTCGATCAATAGAAAAAAATAAAGATATCATTTATTTTAATTATTGTAAAATTGCCATGTTTAAGTTCTTTAATAAAGTTTAATCACCATGCTCAAGTTCTTTAATAAAGTTTCAAACACATATATACAAAGTTAATGTAATTAATATATTTTTACACAACAATAAAAATAATGATTTTTATTGAAACGTTATTCAATACGTAAACAAATTTTTCTGAGGTATATATATGAAATAAATATTGCACGATTTAAAAAATGGCGCTCCCTTTCACAAGAATCTATTTTCTCGTATGTGTATGTGTATATGTTCAAGAAATTTACAACTTATAAATATATGTAGATAGATTTAAAACGATGTCATTAAAAAGTTTACTCGAGCACGATCATTAAACATTAAAATCAGATTCTTTAAACACTCAAAATATCTAACTTTGTTAGATTAAACTTTTTTTGCGCTTTAATAGTTGACGACGATGCAAAGTCCTACATTGTTAAAAAAGTATATCACTCACCGCACGATGAAGTTTCAGTAGCGCAGCAGATTGGCGGCTAGCAATGCGATGATTTTCGATAACATAACTGTTGCTTCTGATGGGGCTAAATGATAGCCCGATATACCGAATAGAATGGGGATACGTTGGCCGCGCGTTCCGTACCAACGGATAGACGGTGCGCGACTGTGCGCCCGCCACTCTCGCGGTCCCCCTTTTATGGGTCGTCGCTCGCGCGTCCACTCACTACTTGACGACTAACGTCGTTGCTCGGATGCGAATGAATCTCCATCGCTCGTAGCGTTATTTTCAACTAGAAAAAGAGGGGGATATTATTTTATGTCTTTTAAGTCTCAAGATACATTAGCAGTTGTCTTAAATCTATTTCACATCATCAAATATACCGTTAAAAAATGGCGGCTGCTTTCGCGAACGTCTATTTTTTTGTCGAGGAAATTTATGTAAATTACAAATATATTTATACGGGTAGACAGACTTAAAATGATGTTACTGAAACTTTACCGAGTGCGGATATTAAAAATTCAGGAACATTCAGAATATGTAATTTTGTCGGACTAAACTTTGAATCTCGTTGAGATAATTGGCGTAGAGTGTAAAAATGGCGAGAATGTAAAAATCTTACGTTGGACTGTTCAAAAAGTTTATAACTCACCGCGCAATCCAATTCAACGGTATAGAAGCTCGATCGGGTAGTGATGCAACGATTTTTAAAGATATAATTACTTTTTCTGAGTAAATGATACACTAAATAGAATAAGATACGGCTACCGCGCGTTCCGTGCCAACAAACAGTCGCAACTGTGCGCCCGCGAGCTTCCTCTGATGATCACTGGCGCGAACATTCAATGTTAATATTCACCAATAGCTAACGTCACTTCGATAACGAATCTCGCGAATAAACTGCATTAAAAATTAAAAAATTGTATAATTATTTTATAATTATTTAGTCAATATTTTTGGACACAATCTATATATAATATAAATGATTTATAATAAAAATATTTAAGAAATTTTAAAATATATAAAATCATACCTATCAGAATTTGCACATATATATATATATATATATATATATATATATATATATATATAATTATTTGAATTAATATTTGAAATATTGTATAGAATTTGCATATATATGTAATCCACAAAATATATATAACTTATAAAATTTTATATTGCGAGTTTATTATATATATTTTTTATTATATATAATTTATATAGTAAACTCGGAATATAAAAATTATAAATAGAATTTTATCCTGGATTTTGTCACAAATGAAAGAATATCTAACAAATATGCTTTCTTAAAAAATAATTTATAAATATAGACATCACATTAGAATCATTATACTTCGAAATGTGAAACATATGCATGTAACGAAATAAATAATGTATATATGCATTTCTTATAGCTCTGATATACATTTAAATTCATGACGAGAAATTTCGCGCTGGAATGAATGCGCATGCGTCTAAATAGAATCTTATTTCATTTTATTTCCGGCAGCTAAAGCAACTGCAAAAAGGAATATTTGCAATATATTATATAAGCATAATTATAAATATGTTAATATAAATATGTTCTTGGTAATTTGTATTAAGAAGTAAAAATCAATATGTGTAAAATTATATAACAGACATCACATACAAATAAAATGATAATAAGATTTATTTTTATATTAGAATTGATTTGAATATACAAGTATTACAAATTGTTGGCACACTGTTTTTATTAAGGTAATTTTCTTTTTGTGGGCTCTTCGTGTACTCTAACGGGAAGAGTGGAGCGTGGGCCACATTTCCACACGTTACCATCCTTGTCGAGTATACTAGCGCTTGCTGTAATTTGATATTGACCACCGCTACCCGTCCCACCAGCAGTATTTCCACCAGCTGTGCATGGAAATGCAATTGCTGGTCCTGGAATTCCTAAGGAAAGTAAAAATTCACAAGCGAAGAAATCGCGATGAGGTATTACCGTTTGCTGCAATTCATTTATATTTGAATCCTGTAAACAAAAAAATAAATTATTTGGTATTATTATTTAATACAGTTTCATAAATCTTGTTTATTTTGTTTATTGAATCTTTTAATGTTTTTTTCTCATCTTTAATTTTCAAACATTGTCAAATATTTAATATAGTTTATATACATTGTCATCATTTGATACAATATAATAATACTGTTTAATTTTTAACTAATATATAAAAGAGAGTTATTAAAGATTCAATTAAAAATAAATAAATAATAACAAAACTTTAATCATTTTTTTATACACAATAATCTAAGAAAAATATAAAGATCTTATATATTCATAAACAGTTCAAATACATATAGGATTCAAATAAAGGAGAAAAATAATAGAAGAAAAGAAATAAAAAAAAAGACATTCACTGATACAGTTTTTTAAATATGTAATCCAAAGAAAAAATAAGAGTAATCCAAAGAAAAGCATAAGAGAATGGCATTTGCCAAAAAATTCAACACATGTGAAAAATAGACAAAAATTACATAAAATAAAAAGACGTTTATAAATCCTTGACAATTAATTAATTCTGAAAAGCTTGATTGTTTTATCTATGTAATTATAAGATATGTAATATTAAATGTAATGTTTTATTTACCTTCTGATCAGAATTTATTTTTGAAGGTGGTGTTGTCGAGATGGAAATGCACACGGCAGCAACAGAACGGAAAAGAGATGCTCTTCGACCGTGTCGCAATACACCTTCGACTTTAAGTGCCAATTGACTACCTTGCGGCACAGAAACAGGTTCACCGAGAACACGTGGTTGAGGCGATACTGATAGCTTAATGCTAGTTGTCTGTAGCGTTTGGAAGAAATACCTCGGTATTGGCAATCTCATTGTTCCGCCAGCGAGTAATGTGACTTGCGATATCAAACAACTGACTCTTAAATGACTGATGGCTCCAGTCTTACCGTCGGCACCCACCCATGCTGGTGCTAAACAACGCAATTCAGTGCAACAACGAGCCAATTGCCGCATTTCCACGGACTCACCAAAGTAAAAATTCATGGAATCATTTTGTTGTTGATACATTGATATACTGGGACCGCCACAAACTCGCTCTACACTGTTCGCGATTAATCGGCACATTTCTTGTAGTCTATATAAAGTAAATTAAGATAAATATTCAAAAGTATATATGATTAAAGAAATGACAGTTAGCCAATTAATAGCTTTTTAATGAAAGGATACGCTCGAATATTCGCCAATGATCCTGGATCAGCATCAAAAGCTGACTGATACAATTTTTGGTAATTGTCCGCACAGTTTTTTAAATCTTGCGCTGACTTTCTTAACTGAAAGAAAAAGAAAAACATAATTTGATAATATATATCGTATCATAGAATGTGTTCTATAAATATATCTAATCAAATATCTAATCAAATTCAAATCATTTCATAATTATACAAAATTGTAGAAATCATACCTGATGTGTAACACGGCCATATCTTTGGAGGTCATCTTTTGTTGCAATGACAACAGTGACAGCTATAGCAGGTGGTGGTGCAGTACACAAAGATCTGAAAATAATCTTTGTTTTTTTTTGTTATTTTTTAAAATTATATATATTATATTGTTGCTTACATGCATGAATGCAATAGCTGAACTATAGATTGTAAGAATTCACAACGTAATTTCGAATATTCACTTGGAAACTGCAAACTGCGCAGTGGAGTGCTGGCGGCTTTAAGAGACGCGCAAGCGCTCGCATAACGTGCTATCGCTCCATTCAATTTCTCCACAATCTCAGCTTTTGTAAAATTTTCTTCGCCTTCCTGTTTACCCCTATATATTATACATTATGTTATAGAAAGAATATAGATATATAAAATAACACATATTGATATTTTGCATACAAGCAAAGCAAATAATACCTACATGAGACAACATTCTGCTTTTGTAACTAATTCTAAACCAGACAACCAAAAATGCAGTTGTTCCGATGCTACAGTTTCTTTTAGACTTTTAAATATTTCGGTGGCAATTGTATGATGACCATATCTTGCGGCGCTACGCGCAATGCGATATTTCGCCCAACCATCCACATTTTTTACAACATTGTCTACTGCTTCCAAACATTCTAAATTCCATTCATATCCTCCAGCCACCATTTGGAACAGTAATGTACAAAGCATTACCTATGAAAATTAAATTAAAATAGAATTTTTCAAGTAATTGTTTATCGAGATATTAAACTTTCTTAAGTGAAATAATTGTTTTTATACATTATGACAGAACATATATTACCTTTGTATGTACATGTGTAGTTTGTTTAAGTTTTATCAAAATGTCTGCCAAAAGTGACAACAACGTATTTTCTCCTAAACTACCAATAGCGCCTAAGGCTTCGCACAGAGCGACCGTTTGCCTTTCATTGTGACCATTTTCTATGCTAGCATTGATAAGGGTGGAACCAATAGCGTCGACAAATATAGCGCAATGACTAGGTTGCGATTGACACAATTTTACTGTTGAACGTAAGCACACCTTCAACTGATACAAATGTTTGTCGTCCAAGGCTAATAATACAATTAGAGATTCGAGACAAGAAATGACATCTTGTATACCATAGGCAGGCAGTCCTTCTTCATAACTACAAAATAATTTATATTAATTATATATGTAAATTAATGTGTGTGTATGTGTATGTATAATTGAATATATATATTTTTTATATATAAAGAAAAATATATGTACCAGTAACAGGCAACTCTGGAAAGAATAGTAATTGCTTTTACTGCAACAAAAGGATCAGGAGAATAACAAGCATTTAGACATAATTGTAATAAAGAACTATTTTCTTCCATATTTGCATCACATGTCACAGCATTTTGGCTAAGTACCTGTGCATTATAGAATTTCAATAAATATGTGTTCATATATATAAATATATATTGTAAATGTTTGCAACTAAATGTGATTTATATTGATTTAACTGACCTCAATTACATCCAAAGTACGTATAAGAAGATCCGTATTTCCTGCACCATCTTGCAAAAGTGTTGTAGTACTCTCTGTTAATTATTAGATACTGATTATCATTTACAGAAATAACAAATATACAATAAAAGTATAATAAATTACAAGTATATTACCAATTAAGTTATTAAGAGCACCCTGTGGCCAGAGATGTGCTCCTCTTCTGGCTAAACTATGCAGAAGATGTAATGCGTGACGTTTTACAGACAATCTTGGATCATCTTGTAAATAGCGTAACAATAATACAACTTGTTGTGGCACATCTATTAACGTTGCAGAAGCCAGTGTACTTAATGCACTCAGAGTGACTCTGACAAATTCAGCTGCTGGATAACTTGCAAGAAGCTCCATACATAATTCATTTACCTTTAATATAATAATATATATATAATTATATATAATATATTTTATATATAATTATATTGAAATTTGCATATAAAATATATAAAACATACTAATACATATAAATAATATGACCTACCATTGATGCTGTGAAAATATCATGATGCATATATTGTAGAATCGGTATAAGTTGCAATTTCATTGAAGCAGGTGTAGCTTGGCCCCTAATCATATCAGAAATCTTACTGCACATTGATACTGCAAACAACTTGGACTGTGCTGCAAACATTTGAGCAGCATATATTGCAGCTTCTACTTCAACTGAATCATGGGAGTCCAAAGATCTTCTTATACTATGATGTACCTTGAAATAATTTTATTTTCATTTTTGTAAAGTCAAATTTACATGCAATTATGTT